CGTATTCCATGTTCAGTTTGGGTGATCCACGTCTGTTTGGGTGTTCCATGTTCAGTTTGGGTGTTCCATGTTCAGTTTGGGTGTGCCATGTGAGTTCGGGTGTGCCATGTTCAGTTTGGGTGTGCCATGTGAGTTTGGGTGTGCCATGTTCAATTTGGGTGTTCCATATCTGTTTGGGTGTTCCATGTTCAGTTTGGGTGTTCCATGTTCAGTTTGGGTGTTCTATGTTCAGTTTGGGTGTTCCATGTCAGTTTAGATGTTCCATATCTGTTTGGGCGTGCTAACTGTATGACTGAAATGATATATTCATGAATGAGTACTTATGTCTTATATCATTAATACATAAGTTTGTGAATTCAGCCAATAGCAAAAATTGAGGCAAATTGTTAAACCCGATATTTTTAACTAAATATATCATATCTAAGGGCTTCAAGACCATAATCTATATGTACATGTAGTATTATATAAATTACTTGATGAAGGTACAGGGCTCACTTAGAACATTCTGCACTCTTATGGAAGGGCTCACTTAGAACATTCGGCACTCTTACGGAAGGGCTCACTCAGAACATTCGGCACTCTTACGGAAGGGCTCACTCAGAACATTCGGCTCTCTTGCGGAAGGGCTCACTCAGAACATTCTGCACTCTTATGGAAGGGCTCACTCAGAACATTCTGCACTCTTATGGAAGGGCTCACTCAGAACATTCGGCGCTCTTACAGAAGGGCTCACTCAGAACATTCGGCTCTTCACTCAGAACATTCGGAAGGGCTCACTCAGAACATTCGGCACTCTTACGGAAGGGCTCACTCAGAACATTCGGCGCTCTTACGGAAGGGCTCACTCAGAACATTCGGCACTCTTATGGAAGGGCTCACTCAGAACATTCGGCACTCTTATGGAAGGGCTCACTCAGAACATTCGGCACTCTTACGGAAGGGCTCACTCAGAACATTCGGCACTCTTACGGAAGGGCTCACTCAGAACATTCGGCTCTCTTACGGAAGGGCTCACTCAGAACATTCTTCACTCTTATGGAAGGGCTCACTCAGAACATTCTGCCCTCTTATGGAAGGGCTCACTCAGAACATTCGGCTCTTCAGAAGGGCACTCAGAACATTCGGCACTCTTACGGAAGGGCTCACTCAGAACATTCGGCACTCTTACAGAAGGGCTCACTCAGAACATTCTCGCACTCTTACAGAAGGGCTCAAGGGCTCAGAACATTCTGCACTCTTATGGAAGGGCTCACTTAGAACATTCGGCACTCTTACGGAAGGGCTCACTCAGAACATTCGGCACTCTTACGGAAGGGCTCACTCAGAACATTCGGCACTCTTATGGAAGGGCTCACTCAGAACATTCTGCACTCTTATGGAAGGGCTCACTCAGAACATTCTGCACTCTTATGGAAGGGCTCACTCAGAACATTCGGCACTCTTACGGAAGGGCTCACTCAGAACATTCTGCACTCTTATGGAAGGGCTCACTCAGAACATTTGGCACTCTTATGGAAGGGCTCACTCAGAACATTTGGCACTCTTATGGAAGGGCTCACTCAGAACATTCGGCACTCTTACGGAAGGGCTCACTCAGAACATTCTGCACTCTTATGGAAGGGCTCACTCAGAACATTTGGCACTCTTATGGAAGGGCTCACTCAGAACATTCTGCACTCTTATGGAAGGGCTCACTCAGAACATTCGGCTCTCTTGCGGAAGGGCTCACTCAGAACATTCGGCACTCTTACGGAAGGGCTCACTCAGAACATTCTGCACTCTTATGGAAGGGCTCACTCAGAACATTCGGCACTCTTACGGAAGGGCTCACTCAGAACATTCGGCACTCTTATGGAAGGGCTCACTCAGAACATTCGCACTCTTACGGAAGGGCTCACTCAGAACATTCTGCACTCTTATGGAAGGGCTCACTCAGAACATTCGGCACTCTTACGGAAGGGCTCACTCAGAACATTCTGCACTCTTATGGAAGGGCTCACTCAGAACATTCGGCACTCTTACGGAAGGGCTCACTCAGAACATTCGGCGCTCTTATGGAAGGGCTCACTCAGAACATTCAGCACTCTTATGGAAGGGCTTACTAAGAACATTCGCCACTTTTACGGAGGGGCTCACTCAGAACATTCGGCACTCTTAAGGAAGGGTCCATTATGGTTTGTTGTGTTCGGGTGCAGTCCTGTGAGGCCAAGAACATGAAGGATACATTTTCTAAATTGTGTTTCCACACAGCAGCTAGAGCAGTTGGCAGGAGATGCAATATGTGTCATAGAATAAGTCTTACATGTTAAATTATATGAGAAATTCTGAATTTCTTGTAATGAGAGCCCATCAGAAGTTACAAGGGATTATACTGTTTGCTGTTTGGTCTACCTGACATTGCTTAGTTATGCTGAAAATATACAAATCACAATTGATTGTCCCATAGTTTTGCAAGTGTTCCATCATATCCATAGCTATTTGACTCTGGATGCCTATCCCTCTGTGTGTATTATTTCATGACAGATGTGACTATAGGCCCCCACTGCATGTCAGAAAACTGATAAACTGAGCCCGGGTTTGCTATCCAGCCCCCTACTATATAGAATGTAAAGGTTCATCACAGAAATAAGGCTCACATGAAGGAATATATCATATTTGAAAGGCCTCACCAGTATCAAAAGCTTTTGTCCATATTTCCGACGTATATAGGGGCCATATACACATGCTTTCCGTTGGGATGCATTTGTTGTTGTTTTTTATATCGCCTAAGACAAAGTTGCTGTGCCGGAAGTATACAAAACTAGGTCGTATAATAATAGTATGTTGCAACAGACTATCGCTATCGCAAATAGTTGTTTCACCCTCAATAATCACCCCTAGTTCTTCATCTTAATCTGGACCGCCTTCGTGGTATAGTGGTTAGAGCGTCAGCCCGGAGAGCGGAAGGTCGCGGGTTCGATCCCCGACAGCATCATACCAAAAGATGTTAAAATATGGTACTTGTTGGTCCCTGCTTGGCTCTCGGCATTAATGGGTACATCAAGAACTGGTCGGCTCGGAGTCAGTATAATGTGTCTGAGTGGGGTATTCATGCTTTACTCTGCAGCATGGTATCTCAGTGGGCTAGCACTATAAAACCAGCTTTAGTCTGGGCTAGGACAAGCAGCCGCACATACACATACACACACATGCACGTCGTCATATGAGCGAAATATTCTCAAGCATGACGTTAAACCCAAATTCACCTCACCTCACCTCATCTTCTTCTGTGACTTGTCCTACAGGTGCCACAGACTTGTCCTACAGGTGCCACAGACTTGTCCTACAGGTGCCACAGACCTGTCCTACAGCTGCCACAGACTTGTCCTATAGGTTCCACAAACTTGTTCTACAGGTGCCACAGACCTGTCCTATAGGTTCCACAAACTTGTCCTACAGGTGCCACAGACTTGACCTACAGGTGCCACAGACTTGTCCTACAGGTGCCGCAGACCTGTCCTACAGGTGCCACAGACTTGTCCTACAGGTGCCACAGACTTGTCCTACAGGTGCCGCAGACCTGTCCTACAGGTGCCACAGACTTGTCCTACAGGTGCCACAGACTTGTCCTACAGGTGCCCCAGACTTGTCCTACAGGTGCCGCAGACCTGTCCTACAGGTGCCACAGACCTGTCCTACAGGTGCCACAGACTTGTCCTACAGGTGCCGCAGACCTGTCCTACAGGTGCCACAGACTTGTCCTACAGGTGCCACAGACTTGTCCTACAGGTGCCACAGACCTGTCCTACATGTGCCACAGACTTGTCCTATAGGTTCCACAAACTTGTTCTACAGGTGCCACAGACCTGTCCTATAGGTTCCACAAACTTGTTCTACAGGTGCCTCAGAATTGTCCTATTGGTTCCACAAACTTGTTCTACAGGTGCCGCAGACTTGTCCTACAGGTGCCACAGACTTGTCCTATTGGTTCCACAAACTTGTTCTACAGGTGCCACAGACCTGTCCTACAGGTGCTATAGACCTACAGGTGCCACAGACTTGTCCTATAGGTGCCATAGACCTAATGTGTCATAGACGTGTCCTGCAGTTGCCATATGACATATTTTACAGGTGCCACAGACCAATCCAACAGGTAGGGCTGGCTATCTGTGTAGATCATATTGATCGATAATCGTTAACAAAATATTGATTGCTTATCGATATGTATCGGAGAAGTAACTTTGACAGAGCAAAAATGGCAATAAACGTTTGAAAGAAATGAATATTTTTCACATCACTGGTGATTGGTTACATGTTCATGCATGGATTACGAACAAAACAGCGCCATAAACATAATCTAGAAGCACACTATACATAGAGAGCTAACTTTGTGTATTGTGTGAGTAAATTAAAACGATATTATTCTGCAAAAGTTTATGTACCATATTATGGATGGCAGAATTTTCATATTGATAATCATTGATAATTTTTCCTGTCAGCGATATTTCCGATTATCAATGTTTTTGGCCAGCCCTACCTACAGGTGCCACAGACTTGTGCTCTGTGTGATACGGGCTTGTCCTACGAATTACACAGCTTGTTCTTAAAGCTGCAAGATGTGTTTTTATGTTGCACAGTCTGTATTTATGTGTCGGTCCTTTAAGCCAGGCAGTGTTTTTTCAGCTACATATCCAAATATGTGTTTCCACCCCACTATTACAATGTTGCCAGTGGTCACAAGCAGTCAACATCAGCATTGCGGCGTCAGTCCTCACTCATGTGTTATGCTGGTTGCAGCTTATTCTGGAGGCCACCTGTGTTCCTGTATTATGCAGTATTCACTGATAATCAGCTGAAACTTTGCAATGCGGCTAACAGCCTCACAGGTTTTTATAGGCCAAGCAGATTTAATTTGAGATGTGGTGTAAGTGAAGCCATGGCAAGTTCTTAACACTCAATCTCTACCACAATCGGTGAACATGTTTGTTGAGCTGTGTTTATTTTTATTGTTTTGTTTGCAGGTGTCTGCATCGATGTTTAACCAAGCGTTGGAATGGCAGCTGGGAAGTGACAAACACCTCGACTGACCTCAATCACTCCGCCTGTTGGCCCACTACAAAACCGCCACGTTGGATATATACAGAGTGGACGTCCAGTGTACTGGAGCCACTGTCATGCACCGGAAGTTGTGTATACCAAGGCAAGGTAAGGTACCGCTACGTGTAACTAATTGTAATAGGTATACATTGAACAACTTGACTTCGCGGCAGACTTGGTGTGGATGATGTTGACTCTTGCCCATGTCAACAAGGCCGTCCTATTCAATGGAGTTGTTAGATCGTCCTTTCTTAGCTTCAGCTTAGTGATAAGCTGAATGTGTCCCTGACTTACAACATATTGCCTGAAGTTTATGTACTGATGTAGAACACATTAAAATTTGTGTTAAATAATAAATGTAATGTGGGTGTGATGTTTTTTTCAGAGCAGTGAGCAGTGGACATGAAAGTTACTCCCCATCTTGTGGCACATCAGCAGAATTAGGTCCTGAGGTTGTCTTTGTTGTAGAGTTGCAGCTGGCTTCAATAATTAGTGTATGTATGTAGATGAGACTACGTTTCAGCATCTCCATGGTATATACAACGTAGGCCAAGTTCCAACTACTTATGCTAGGAGGTTGAGTGTAAATGGTGCTCAGTATCAGCCAGAACAGAGACAGATTTGTCCTAAGTTGTCTTGGAGTTTAGTCTACCAGTGTCAAGATGGCAAGTCGACGCCTCAAGTTCCAGTACTGCAAGGTGATCATAGCCACGTCCATGGTGTGGGTCATGCTGGACGTCTTCCTGCTCATGTACTTCACTGATTGCACCACCATGTCGGCTGCCAACTGCAATAACAACAACAACGTCCGGGTCGACCACCATGATGCGCTCAAGCCACAGAAGCAGGAGGGCTTCCTCAACAGAATATTGCCAAAAGGTAGGTCAATGCTTGTGGAATACTCAGATCAAATACACTCGGTTGTGGGGCCACCAAACTGGTGGGCATCTGGGACCTGCATTACTGAAGGCCATGTTCCTCAGTGTGTCCCTTGTATCCATGTTCCTCAGTGTGACCCTTGTATCCATGTTCCTCAGTGTGCCCCTTGTATCCATGTTCCTCAGTGTGTCCCTTGTATCCATGTTCCTCAGTGTGACCCTTGTATCCATGTTCCTCAGTGTGTCCCTTGTATCCATGTTCCTCAGTGTGTCCCTTGTATCCATGTTCCTCAGTGTGTGTCCCTTGTATCCATGTTCCTCCTGTGTGCCCCTTTGTATCCATGTTCCTCAGTGTGTCCCTTGTATCCATGTTCCTCAGTGTGACCCTTGTATCCATGTTCCTCAGTGTGCCCCTTGTATCCATGTTCCTCAGTGTGTCCCTTGTATCCATGTTCCTCAGTGTGTCCCTTGTATCCATGTTCCTCAGTGTGCCCCTTGTATCCATGTTCCTCAGTGTGCCCCTTGTATCCATGTTCCTCAGTGTGACCCTAGTATCCATGTTCCTCAGTGTGCCCCTTTGTATCCATGTTCCTCAGTGTGCCCCTTTGTATCCATGTTCCTCAGTGTGTCCCTTGTATCCATGTTCCTCAGTGTGCCCCTTGTATCCATGTTCCTCAGTGTGACCCTTGTATCCATGTTCCTCAGTGTGACCCTTGTATCCATGTTCCTCAGTGTAACCCTTGTATCCATGTTCCTCAGTGTAACCCTTGTATCCATGTTCCTCAGTGTGCCCCTTGTATCCATGTTCCTCAGTGTAACCCTTGTATCCATGTTCCTCAGTGTGCCCCTTGTATCCATGTTCCTCAGTGTGCCCCTTGTATCCATGTTCCTCAGTGTGCCCTTGTATCCATGTTCCTCAGTGTGTCCCTTGTATCCATGTTCCTCAGTGTGTCCCTTGCATCCATGTTCCTCAGTGTGCCCCTTGTATCCATGTTCCTCAGTGTGCCCCTTGTATCCATGTTCCTCAGTGTGACCCTTGCATCCATGTGACGTCACTGTGAAGCTCTGCAGATAGTGAAGTGCTGGATTATGGCAATGTGCTTGATCGTGTCCCTTGACTGAGATTTTCTCTGTTAGCCTGAAACATTTAAGCTATTCAGATATGGGGAAGAGTGGTGATGTGACTTGCATTTGCCTCAGTGTAACCCTTGTATCCATGTTCCTCAGTGTGCTCCTTGTATCCATGTTCCTCAGTGTGTCCATGCCATCTCAAGTCCATGTCATGTTTGTGGCAATTGTTTAGACTCTGGCAAGTCCATGTCATATTTGTGGCAATTGTTTAGACTCTGGCAAGTCCATGTCATATTTGTGGCAATTGTTTAGACTCTGGCAAGTCCATGTCATATTTGTGGCAATTGTTTAGACACTGACAAGTCCATGTCATATTTGTGGCAATTGTTTAGACACTGACAAGTCCATGTCATATTTGTGGCAATTGTTTAGACACTGTCAAGTCCATATCATGTTTGTGGCAATTGTTTAGACTGGCAAGTCCATGTCATATTTGTGGCAATTGTTTAGACTCTGGCAAGTCCATGTCATATTTGTGGCAATTGTTTAGACTCTGGCAAGTCCATGTCATATATGTGGCAATTGTTTAGACTCTGGCAAGTCCATGTCATATTTGTGGCAATTGTTTAGACTGGCAAGTCCATGTCATATTTGTGGCAATTGTTTAGACTCTGGCAAGTCCATGTCATATTTGTGGCAATTGTTTAGACACTGGCAAGTCCATGTCATGTTTGTGGCAATTGTTTAGACTCTGGCAAGTCCATGTCATATTTGTGGCAATTGTTTAGACACTGACAAGTCCATGTCATATTTGTGGCAATTGTTTAGACACTGACAAGTCCATGTCATGTTTGTGGCAATTGTTTAGACTCTGGCAAGTCCATGTCATATTTGTGGCAATTGTTTAGAGACTGACAAGTCCATGTCATGTTTGTGGCAATTGTTTAGACTGGCAAGTCCATGTCATATTTGTGGCAATTGTTTAGACTCTGGCAAGTCCATGTCATATTTGTGGCAATTGTTTAGAGACTGACAAGTCCATGTCATGTTTCTTACATTGTTTAGACTGACTCATCTATGTCATGTTTGTGGCATTGCTTAGACTCTGGCAAGTCCATGTCATGTTTGTGGCAATTGTTTAGACTGACAAGTCCATGTCATGTTTGTGGCATTGAATAGACTGGATATTGGGATCTCTGAGGAGACAAACAGCCGGTACCTCCCCAGTAAATACATTGCTTTGACAGTCACATGAACATGACAAAGTCACCATTGGAGGAAGCCTTTATCATGTACCGAAGTGGTACTTATTCTTGCTCCGAATCCAAAACCTATAGTGTCAGAATAATTGTGTGAAGCCATGAAGATGTCAATACATATGTCTATGTACAAATGTACATTCACATCCACACTTAGGTATCTAAAACAATGATTCAGTTAAGTAACTGAACATAAAGCTTGCTGGTGTACCTGGACCATATGCTTTTGAACTTTACTTCTTTTCACACAATACTCAGTATAGTAAAACAGCAATTGGTAATTTGGCCATGAAGTTTAACTTATGCTTCCGGTATGTCAATTATTTAGTATCATTCAATAACCGTTAACTAGGCTATTCCATTCCAGTGATATACCCACCTGAACTTTAAGTTTAGAAGACAAGTGAGACTGCCTCAACTGTTTAATATTAACATCTATGCATGAAGGGGTAGCCTAGTGGTTAAAGCGTTGTCTCGTCACGCCGAAGACCCGGGTTCGATTCCCCGCATGGGCACAATGTGTTAAGCCCATTTCTGGTGTCCCCAGCGCCGATATTGCTGTAATATTGCTAAAAGCGGAGTAAAACTAAACACAGTCAGTCAGTCTATGCATGAAGATTCAGATATATATAAACACTGGAATATATACTCAACTAAAATATACAAAAGACATGTTTTAAGATTACAGAAAGCAAAGGTTCAGGACAAACTAAATCATCTACCCCAATCATGATTCAGGAAAGAAGAAGAAGTCATTATTATGGACCTGTACAAGTATTTCAGATGTATTTCTCCTTATGTTAAGTTACTGACTGAACTGAAACTTTAGCTACCATGTGGAAAGTTGATGCTAGGTGAGATAACATCAACGCAGTACTGCAGCAGCATGAAAAAATACATCTTTTCATGCTTTTAGTTTTCATAGCATGTCTGAAAAACATGACCCCTGATTGTGACCAGGCTGTATGCTGCCACAGACAATCATATGCATATGCTGTTGACAAATATGCCAGATTTAAGAGCACATTCAGAGCATGTATTATGCTGTAACACTACCATCCTTAACAGCTTATAGCCAGCTTGCTCTACAGTCGGAATAGAGTTGTAGAAATGCAGTATATATCGTTAACAGCTCGTCTGCCTGTCCGTTCAACCCGAAAACCATTCAATGTTTATCAAGAAAAACTTGACAGTGGTATAGGAATCTAGATGGAAATGATGCACCATAACATAACAAAGAAGTTGTCACCCTATGGTATCTTGCCTTTATTTGACCATATCTCTATAGCTAATGGGTACTCTGTCATGAAACTGTGGACACACATAGACCGGGTTGTCAGCTTGTGTCTCTCGTTGTTTATGGATTTTAACATTTGGGTTTTATTCACATCCTTGGTAACAAGTTTGACTTCTGTTGTGTACCTGATACAGAAATACCAAACAATCAGATGAGTTTTCTTTCCGAGTTAGTGGGGACAAGGGGATTTTTCACCTTGTGATGTCCTCTTGTTTGCAGTCTGCTCCCCTTGTAGAACTGTGACTAACAATAGTTTCCTGTGACAAGACGCATTGAGAGTGTTTTGTGTTTTATTGAAACCAGCAAATAAAGACATTAGTCTTGTCAATATGACAAGCAGAACATGCCATCTGTCTGTATGAAACAAGTTTGGAAAATAATGTGAGTTGTATTGATCCTTTGGAAAAGGTGATGTTGATTGTATAAAATGATGCTGTTGACGATGTTGGTAGGTAACACAGGTGCAGCAAATATCTGCTGACTTTGTTATTCCTAGATTGATATATTTGCTACTGTCTGCAGGTGGAGAGTGTCAGATGGTACACTGTGTACTTCAACATGCTCTACATCTTACAATATACCCTACATGTCACACGTGGCATCACATACTGTAGCGTATACTGTATCACATACTGTAGCATACACTATATCACATACTGTATCACATACTGTATCATACACTATATCCCACACTGTATTACATACTGTAACATATACTGTATCCCACACTGTATCACATACTGTAACATACACTATATCCCACACTGTATTACATACTGTAACATACACTATATCCCACACTGTATCACATACTCTAACATACACTATATCCCACACTGTATCATCCCACACTGTATATATCATATCACACTGTAACATACATACACTATATCCCACACTGTATCACATACTGTAACATATACTATATCCATACACACTGTATCACATACTCTAACATACACTATATCCCACACTGTATCCACTGTACACTGTATACACTATATCCTGTATCACATACACTATCCCACACTGTAACATAACATACACTATATCCCACACTGTATTACATACTGTAACATGTACTATATCCACATACTGTATCACATACTGTAACATATACTGTATCCCACTCTGTATCACATACACACGTGTATCACATACTGTAGCATATACTGTATCACATACTGTAGTGTATACTGTAACCTTTACCATATCACACGTGACATCACATACTGTATTGTATACTGTATCCCACTCTGTATTGCATACTGTAACATGTACCATATGACACGTGGCATCACATACTGTAATGTATACTGTATCCCACTCTGTATCGCATACTGTAACATGTACCATATCACACGTGGCATCACA